TCTCACCACCTCTCTCCCACAAAGATGTCTCTCCCTCTCACCACCACTCTCCCACAAAGATGTCTCTCCCTCTCACTGTATTAGACAACAAACATTCTGCAACTTTACAACCGCTATCATCAGTATTGGTCCAGGTCAGAGACTTATATAAAGTTATTCACTGAACTCCAGTTAGGTTTCTTCTCCAGTTAGGTTTCTTCTCCAGTTAGGTTTCTTCTCCAGTTAGGTTTCTTCTCCAGTTAGGTTTCTTCTTCAGTTAGGTTTCTTCTCAGCCTTACTGTTAGTGGGAGACTTTGTTCACATAATTACAAATGGAACAGTCATACCTCACACAACTACCTAGTTGGAAGTTGAAGACTCGGATGAGTCACAAGGATGTTAGGAAGTATTTCTTCAGTTATAGAGTTGTCAGGAAGTGGAATGCTCTGAAGAGTGATGCAGTGGAGACAGGATCCATATATAGCTTTAAGAAGAGGTATGATAAAGATTATGAAGCAGGGGCAGTGTGGACCTACTAGTGACCAGTGAAGAGGTGGGGGCCAAGAGCTATGCATCAACCCCTACAACCACAATTGAGTGAATACATAGAAGCTCTCACAATTACTGCCAGGCTACACAGTTTGTTGTATTTAATATGTTGTTACATGTATCAGAGGACGAGGAATACACTTTCCTCACGTACAGTACACTCACTCTTGCTGCTCTTTTTAAAAGTCCCGCCCTTAGATTCAGACTAAAGGAAACTGACTCACTTTGAATTTTATTTTCCACATTTTCTAATCTCCAGCCTCATTAACTGTCACTTAAGTTAACACAAGTACCACCATAACCTTGTGTGATCCATGAGTGATTACTTTAATATTTTATAATTATAGGAAATAGAGCAAAAGCAAATTTGTTACTTGTTAGGTGTGATAATTACCAGGTCCTCCCTAAGACACTTTGATGCTGCACCCTTACAATGATATTTACCTTACTTTTACTTTGGTATACCTTACCTTTGATGAGTTTCTTGAGTCTTTCTACTCCTGGAGCCCGGCCATGGGCCAGGCTCATCTGGTGCTAGCTACACCGGGAACTCTAATAAGAATAATAATGACTGCAATAAGTGTAAATAGAGAGATACTTGGTTAAGGAAAGTGGACTGTATACAGTGGACCCTTGGGTAACGCCTTTAATCCATTCCAAAGAGCTAGCCTTTAGCCGAATTAATTTTCCCCATAAGAAATAATGGAAATCCAATTAATCCGTTCCAAACACCCAAAAGTATTAAACAAAATAATTTTTTTACATGAAATATACATTTCCCTACACAGAAAACAATGATATGCAGAAAAAACAATACTGAAATGACACTTACCTTTACTGTGGACTTGTTGATGAGTGATGAGATGGGAGGAGGGAGAGGATGGAGGTGTACTAGTGTTTGGAAGGTGAATCCCCTTACATAAAGACTTCAGGTAACAAGTCCTTTTCTGGGTTACCTCACTTCTTGGTTTTTTAATGCCACTGGGAACAACTTGAGTCACTGGACCCTGTCACACAAAATATTTGTCTGGAGAGCTCCTTCTCACGTCCCTTTAAGATTTCCCTAAAATGGGACACGAGAGTGTCATTGTACATGTTGTAAATACGGCTTGCAACAGCCATGTCAGGATAATATTCATCCATAAATGCTTGCAACTTTGTCCACATTGTATATGTTCCTTTAATCTTTGACAAAGGCAACTTCCTCCGTCTCTCTTCCTCCTCCTCTGAAGCACATTCCTGAGCTGTGATCTGTTGCTGTTGCACCTAAAGCTCTGTAGTGGTTAGCTCTTTATCGTCGTCCTCCACCAACTCTTCCACATCCTTGCCACTAACCTCCAACCCCATGGACTTGCCCAATGCCACAACAGATTCCACAATTGGCATAGTCTCCTGAGGGTTAGCCCCAAACCCTTCAAAATCCCTCTCTTGTACACACTGTGGCTACAATTTTCTCCAAGCAGACTTCAAAGTCCTGCAAGTCACTCCTTCCCAAGCCTTACCTACAAGGTTTATGCAACTGAGGATACTGAAGTGATCTTTCCAGAACTCTCTTAGGGTCACCTTAGTGTCTGAGGTCACTTCAAGGCACTTTTGAAACACTGCAGTTTTTTCAAGTTTGAAATAACCTGCTGGTCCATGGGCTGGAGGAGTGGTATTAGGAGGCAAAAACTTCACTTTGATAAAGCTCAACTCCCCCACAAGTTGTTCTTGCAAATCCTGAGGATGAGTAGGAGCATTGTCCATTACCAGGAGGCATTTGAGTGACAATTTATTTTCCAGGAGGTATTTTTTCATAGTGGGGCCAAACATGTCATAGAACCAGTCCAGGAAAATGTCCCTAGTGATCCATACCTTACTGTTTGCTCTCCACATCACACACAATTTAGTCTTGAAGACATTGTTTTTCTTGAAAACACTGGGAGTTTCAGAGTGATACACGAGTAAAGGCTTCACTTTGCATTACTACAAAACATTAGAGTTAGCCTGTCTTTCATAGGCTTGTGTCCTGGGAATGCCTTTTCCTCTTGAGAAATGTAGGTCCTGTTTGGCATTTTCTTCCAAAATAGGCCTGTTTCATCACAATTGAACACTTGTTGGGGTTTTAATTTTTCAGTGTCTATGCACTCCTTATATTCCTGCACATATTTTTCAGCAGGTTTTTTTTTGTCAGAACTGGCAGGCTCACCATGCCTTATCACACTGCATATGCCACTACGATTCTTAAATCACTCAAACCAGCCTTTGCTGGCCTTAAATTCATCATTAGCAGCACTTTTTGGAAGCATTTTCTTAATGAGATCCGTATGCAACTTCCTTGCCTTTTCACATATTACTGACTGAGAAACGCTATCTCCTGATAATTGTTTCTCGTTTATCCACACCAACAACAGTCTCTCCACAACTTCGAGTATTTGCAATCTCTGTTTTGTGAGCATACTTGCACCTTTCGTAACAGCTTCCTTGATTGCCTTTTTGTTGGCCAAGATAGTAATGATGGTTGAATGGGGTTTGTTATATAACATTTCCAGCTCTGAGATACACACTCCACTCTCGTACTTTGCGATTATCTCCTTTAATTCGATAGTACACGTCACCCTTTTTACCACAAGGTTGGCATTAGAAGCATGTACACGTGGAATCGTCCCAACTGGCTTTGTAAACAATGGCACACTGGCTGTACACGGAGTGAGTGGCAGGGCCCACTCAGGCCACATGGACATGTTTGAGTCAAAAGCTCTTAACCAAGTTATTTGGCATTAGCCGAGCCAATATTTTCACGCCAAAGCGAGCCGATTTTGGCGCTAACCGATGAAGCCTTTACCCGTCGTTCCACTGTATAAGGTTTATGGGAGAGGAAAGTGAATCCTGTTTACCAAGGGAAAATAATGTATCACAAGCAATACAGGAATAAATTACAGCAGAAATCAATTTACAACTTAAAGTTTTTTAAAAAGTGGTAGACAACTTGTCCCTTATAGTTACCTAATAACTGACCCTCAGCACCGAGACTAAGATTTAGCCTGTATGCCATGAGGGCATTTTTGGTTGGGAAGGGACAACGAAAGGTATACAGTTGTTACACTGAAGTTCCTTAAACCAGCTCGGTAAATAATCCACCATTTTACATTGTCAATCTTTGTCATTTCTCAACTGGGACTTGTCGCTTGTCATACAACTGTTGCTCAACATTACTGTACAATGCTGGCACATAATGACAGTGACAATGACAAGTTTGTCCATAATGTACAGTATTAAATTGACATAGCATTAACTGGCATGTATAAAATGCTGTATAGAAAACACTCGGAGCATCCTGGGCAGCTTTAAAATTAATTTATAACTACTGAACTGTTAACCCTTAAACAGTCCAAACGTATATATACGTTCACGCGCGTAGCGCCCCAAACGTATACAGTGGACCCCCGCATAACGATTTTAATCCGTGCAAGAGGGGCAATTGTTATGCGAAATAATCGGTATGTGAATGAATTTTCCCCATAAGAAATAATGGAAATAAAATTAATCCGTGCAAGACACCCAAAAGTATGAAAAAAAAATTTTTTACCACATGAAATATACATTTTCCCACACACAAAGAGAAGGATACATGCACAATAGTAGAGCAGTACATGCACAATATATATTGTGCATGTACTACTCTACTAAATGAAGAATAAATGACACTTACCTTTATTGAAGATGCAGCAATGACTGATGAGACACTGTGTCCTGGGAGTGCCTTTTTCTCCTGAGTACTGTAGGTCCTGTTTGGCATTTTCTTCCAGAACAGGCCTTATCACACTGTGTATGCCACTACGGTTCTTAAATCTCTCAAACCAACCTTTGCTGGCTTTAAATTCACCAATATGAGCACTAGTTCCAGGCATTTTTCCCTGTTCACCTGGGTGTTAGTCGACTGGTGTGGGTTGCATCCTGGGAGACAAGATTAAGGACCCCAATGGAAATAAGTTAGACAGTCTTCGATGACACTGACTTTTTTGGGTTATCCTGGGTGGCAAATCCTCTGGGGTTAATTGTTTCTTGGTATTCTCAATAAGCCACACCAACAACGGTGCTACAGCAGCAGCAGCAGCAGCTGACAGTGCTACAGCAGCAGCTGACGGTGGTACAGCAGCAACAGACGATGCTACAGCAGCAGCAGACGATGCTACAGCAGCAACAGACGATGTTACAGCAGTAGCAGACGATGCTACAGCAGCAGCAGCAGCTGACGGTGGTACAGCAGCAACAGACGATGCTACAGCAGCAACAGATGATGTTACAGCAGCAGCAGACGATGCTACAGCAGCAGCAGCAGCTGACGGTGGTACAGCAGCAACAGACGATGCTACAGCAGCAACAGACGATGTTACAGCAGCAGCAGACAATGCTACAGCAGCAGCAGCAGCTGACGGTGGTACAGCAGCAACAGACGACGCTACAGCAGCAACAGACGATGTTACAGCAGCAGCAGACGATGCTACAGCAGCAGCAGCAGCTGACAGTGCAGCAGCAGCAACAGCTGTACCACCAATAGTAGCGATGGTTGATTGGGGTTTATTATACAACCTGGCCAGCTCGGAGACACGCACTCCACTTTCATACTTATCAATGATCTTTTTCTTCATCTCTATTGTAATTCTCACCCTTATTGCTGTAGGGTTGGCACTAGAAGCTTTCTTGGGGCCCATGGTCACTTATTTTCCAGAAAAAGCACCGAAAACACTGTAATAATACGAAATATTCCGATTGTATGCTTGGATGTTACCGCGGAGGCTGGCTGGTAAACAATGCCACCGGCGGAACATGTGAGCGTGGCTCAGGCCGCACATTGGACGCGTCTCAGACGAAAATCGGTGAGCGGGTTTTTAAGCGGTATGTGAGGCAAAATTTTGGCGATTAAAGCAAGCGGTATGCGGATTAATTGCTATGTGATGCCATCGGTATGCGGGGGTCCACTGTATATATGTTTTCTTTGTCATTCATTCAACATTGCCACGATAAGCCTGAGTCACCTAGACATGAGAGAATGGGTGTGTGAACTCACTGTGTTCCATATTAAAATATTTGGGGATGCCTGGGTACCACATGATCTTTTTTCCTATTAAAAAAAAAAAAAAAAATTTCAAAAAATTTGGGGCGCTACGCGAGTGAACGTATATATACGTTTGGACCGTTTAAGGGTTAATATAAAGGCACAATGCCGTGACTGGAACAATATATAAATAATCAGCACATAAGAGAAAGAAACATGATGTTTTGGTCCGACTAATTAACAACTGAATCGAAACATAATCGTATCTTTCTAATACGTGTGAGTTGTGTGTACTGAACATTAACCCTTAAACTGTCCAAACGTAGATCTATGTTCATGTGCGTAGCGCTCTGACCTTGATTTTCCCCATTTCAAAGCATGTAAAAGAAAACGTAGATCTGCGTTTGGAGCCTGCCGCACGTCAACGTATATCTATGTTTGGACAGTTTAAGGGTTAATTAGGTTAGTGTGCTAGAATGCAGTAGTTCGCATCTTTTTATATAGCAATATTGTTTAATGTAACATTGACAGTAGTTAACACTGACACACAACATAGTCTGCTTATTATGTAAGTTGAAATATAATGGATGAGAACATCAATATGAATGTTACACTGATATGGATCAACAAGGTTGTTGTTTGATGAGCTTAGCTATAATATCAAGCAGAGTCTAGGTCAAATTTAAGAAGTGCTTTTTAACTTAAATTGTTGAAGCAGGTAACTAAAGGTTAACTTTTTTGTCTCTGGAAGGGCGCTACAAATTTATACGTCATTCCTATGTAGGTCGAGTCATACGTGTGATATAACAAAGATACTTAATTCTTATACTGTGTCTGTTTTCTTGCAGCTCTCCAACAATATACAGTGCACTACTGTATAAACATTTAAAAATGTACCAGAAATGTTATAAACAGTGCAAAGGTGAGAGTAAAACAATATCAAAGATGGCTGACATAAACCCACTACCAGCAGGAAGAGTCAGAACGTTGGGCTGAAGGTCGTAGTGTCCTGTACACATATAAAATGTAGAGTAGTAAGAATTTATTGGATAGTGAGTAAATTAACACTTGAATAGTGTGGGTGTGTACTTATCTATTTGTGGTTACAGGGGTAGAGTCATAGTTCCTGGTCCCACTTCTTCGCAAGTCATTATGAGGTCCACTCCCTCAACCAAGAGCTTTATCATACCTCTTCTTAAAGCTATGTATGGATCCTGCCTCCATTACATCACTCTCCAGATTGCTCCATTTCCTGACAACTCTGTAACTGAAGAAATACTTTCTAACATCCCTATGACTCATCTGAGTTTTCAACATCAAGTTGTGACCCCTTGTTGCTGTCACTATCCACCATGTCAGTTCCTTTCAGTATTTTATGTTATGTCTTCCCCTATCCCTCCTGTCCTCCAGTGTTATCAGGTTGATTTTCCTTAACCTCTTGTAGAACATACCCTTTAGCTCTGGAACCAGTCTTGTTGCAAACCTTTGCACTTTCTCGAATTCATTAATGTCTTTGACCAGGTGCAGGTTTCATACTGGTGCTGCATTCTCTAAAATGGGCCTGAAATACACAGTGTACAAAGAATTGAATGACTGTACTCAGATGTTGAATTGGTATTCTTTGGTTTGCCAGGCACCCATGTACTGCAGCAGTTACAGTGGAACCCTGGTTTTTGTCTTTAATCTGTTCCAGAAGGTCGGCCAAAAACTGATTTCCAATTTGTACGAAAACTGAAGCAATATTTCCCATGAGAAATAATATAACTAATTAATCCATTCCAGACACCCAAAAATATTAGCATAAAATACATTTTATAGAGAATGACTATAGTTTTATACACAGAAAACAATGAGAAATAAATAAAAAGAAGACTGAGAGGAGGGGAGAGTGAGGAGAGGAGGGGAGAGGGAGGAGAGGAGGGGAGAGGGAGGAGAGGAGGGGAGAGGGAGGAGAGGAGGGGAGAGGGAGGAGAGGTTATCTCTACCACCATCTACCACCAACACTACCACCCTCTACCACCATCACTACCACCCTCTACCATCAGTACCACCCTCTACCATCACTACCAACCTCTACCACCATCGCTATCACCCTCTACCATCACTACCACCCTCTACCACCCTCTACCATCATTACCACCCTCTACCATCACTACCACCCTCTACCACCCTCTACCATCAGTACCACCATCACTACTACCCTCTACCACCATCACTACCACCCTCTACCACCATCACTACCACCCTCTGCCATCATCACTACTACCTTTTACCACCATCACTACCACCTTCTACCATCACTATCACCCTCTACCACCATCACTACCATCTTCTACCACCATCACTACCACCCTCTACCACCATCACTACCACCCTCTACCATCACTACCACCCTCTACCACCATCACTACTACCTTCTACCACCACCACTACCACCTTCTACCATCACTATCACCCTCTACCACCATCACTTCCATCTTCTACCACCATCACTACCACCTTCTACCACCATCACTACCACCCTCTACCACCATCATTACTACCCTCTACCACCATCACTACCACCCTCTACCACCATCACTACTACCATCACTACCAACCTCTACTACCATCACTACCACCCTCTACCACTATCATTACCACCCTCAACCACAATCACTACCACCCTCTATGAGTAACAAAGGCAGACCGAGTCACGAACGTATGAGTGGCCACGTCCTGTGGGCAGGCAGACATGTCTCGTAGGGGCAATTTCCAAGCAGATGTATGAAAACAAGGAAAATTTCGCTGAAAAAAGAGGTCGAACACTGAATTGTATGATAACCAGACT